CCCGATGCGGGACTCGATCCTGGGACTCCAGGATCATGACCTGAGCCGAAGGCAGTCGCTTAACCAACTGAGCCACCCAGGCGCCCTGTTTTCATGTTTTTCTGTAATTCTTTGAACATACTAATAATAGTTGCTTTAAAGTCCTTGCGTGCTAATGCCTGTAATTTCTGGTTCTGTTTCTATCTGGGTGTTTTCTTCTCCTGACTATAGATTACATTTTTCATCTTTTTGTCATCTAGTAATGTTTTTTGAATGCTAGACGTTATGAATGTTTACATTGTTAAGTATCTGCATTCTTTGTCCTCCTTTAACAAATATTATTGAGCTTTATTCTGACAGGGAACTAATTTACTTAAAAATCACTTTGATCTTTTTCAAGCTTGATTTTTCAGCTCAATAAAGGCAGGTTTGAAGTAGTCTTTAGATGAGGTCAACCTACTCCTACCATGGCTTAGGATCTCTACCAAGTGTAATTTCTTACAGTTGTTCAATTTATATACTTTTTTCAATATATATACTTTGTCCTTCCTGGTAATTGTCTAATACAACCCTCACCCTCTGCACACACAGGTTAGTTTACAGCTAAGACTCAGGGTAACCCCTGTCCAAATATCTGGAGCTTTTTCCCAGTGTAGTCCTCTCTTCTCAGGTACTCTGTCCTAAGACCAGATACCTCAGCCTTCCTAAACTTTGACCTGTCTTCAACTCAGCAGAATTGCTATGTACTTCTCACTCTTCTCAAGATCCCCTTCCCCTGTGCCATACCTAAAATTTTGCCTCCAGTCAAAAAAATCAGGGAAATCACAGAGAGACTTATTTCCACCCTCTTGGGGATCTCAGTCCTTCACTGCCTACTGTCCAATGTTTTGAAAATAACTGTTTCAAATATTTTGTTCAGTTCAGTCTTCATATATTTAGAGGAGGTCTAGTTGGATTACCAGTTACTCCATCACAGCTAGAAGGAAAATCTCCACCTACTTTTTCCACTAAGCATTTCACATTTTTCATTTTAGACATTTAATACTTTAATATACCTGGAGTTTTGTTTTGTTTTAAATATAATATAAGATGGAGACCTAACTTCATTTTTTTCCAAATGGACATTTTTTTCTGGCTCCAATTATTCAATGATCTCTACTTTTCCTCACTGATTTGAGCTTCTACCTCTACTATATAACAAAGTTTCACACATGTATCGGTCTTTTTCTGAGTGCTCAATTTCATTCCTCTGGTCAACTTGTTCATCCTATGCTAATATCATACTCTCAATTATTATAAGTTTCAATATCTTCCAGGGTAAATCCCTCTTTCCTGCTCACCATCTTTAGGGTGGGCCCTACTTCTTCTTAGCCTTTACGTTTCTGTGTAACATTTTCAACCCACCATTATGCTGTGAATAACCATGTTGTAATTTATATTGGAATTGCAGTGAACCTACAAATCAATATGGGGAAAACTGATGTTTTTATGGTATTAGGTATTATTTTCCACAACTATGGTATATCTCTCCATTTATTTAAAATCAATCTTCTTTAACTTTTCTTCTGAAGTTTTATAATTTTCCTTATACAGGCTTGTAATTTCTTGTTACAATGATTCTTCAAATCATGATATTCTTGATACTATTATTAATGATGTCCTCTTTTTCTGGTAGTCTGCTGATATAAAAAAATGCAACCTACTTTTGTATATGAATGTTTCATCTAGCCACTGCTAAACTCTCTTATATTTAGTATTCTGTAGTCTTGTCCTCTTTATCCACATTACCAATACCTTAGTACAAGCCACTATTCTTTTTTTTTTTTTTTTTAAGATTTTATTTATTTATTTGACAGAGAGAGAGACAGCGAGAGAGGGAATACAAGCAGGGGGCAGTGGGAGAGGGAGAAGCAGGCTTTCCACTGAGCAGGGAGCCTGATGTGGGGCTCGATCCCAAATGACCTGAGCCGAAGGCAGACACTTAACAACTGGGCCACCCAGGCGCCCACAAGCCACTATTCTCAATTGAGTAACTGAAACACTTCAAATTAGTTTCCCAGTCTCTAGTTTTGTACCCTTCCCTGGAATTAAAAATTCTTCACTGGTCTTGCTATCTCTCTGTTCCTCCTGTCTTCCTAGCTCTTCACAGTCAACCTAACTTCTGCTTATTCTTTTAATTTCTAATTATTGCCCTCAAATACTTCATAGGCTAGATTAACTACTCCTCATTTGTGTACAGTATCACCCCATGCTTAATCCTCTTCTATCTCTTACCACTCTCAATTGTTTCTCTGTGTCACCAATTAAACTACAACTGACCCTTCAACAAACCCTTCCTTCATGGGTCTGAACTGTGTGAGTCCACTAATATGCAATTTTTTCCATACATAAACTACCATACTGTAAATGTATTTTCTCTTCCTTATAATTTTCTTAATAACACTTTTTTATCTAGCTTACTTTATTATAAGAATACAGTATATAATACATATATAAAATATGTTAACTAACTGTTCATTAACTGTTCATAACAGTCGTACTGAATGGATACAATAAGGTATCCAATCAACAGGAGGCTATCAGTAGTTAAGTTTTTGGGAAGTTAAAAGTTATATGCAGATTTCAACTGCACAAAGGTCAGCACCATGTTGTTCAAGGGTCAAGTGTTATTAATTTTTTGAGAACAAGCTTTCATGTTCATCTCCACATACTCCCAGAACCTACCAGTCTCTGACATATGGCAGAAGACTGACACATAATTATTCAACAAGTACAAGAATAAAATCTCACTTGTACTTGAAAGATGCACCTGAAATGGAATTATTTGTGCCATTTTGCAGATCAAGAAATACACATACCTGCATTTGTAACTCAAGAAACTCAAGCAACATTACTCCATCTTACTACTTTTAGAAAAGATGCCAAAATACATAATGTTATACCATAAAAATAATTTTTTAATTTTAAATGTATTTTGAATTAACTATTTTTTTAAGATTTTATTTATTTTTTGACAGAGAGAGAGAGAGACAGCGAGAGAGGGAACACAAGTGGGGGGAGTGGGAGAGGGATAAGCAGGCTTCCCGCTGAGCAGGGAGCCCGATGTGGGACTTGATCCCAGGACCCTGAGATCATGACCCAAGCCAAAGGCAGACGCTTAACGACTGAGCCACCCAGGCGCCCTTTGAATTAACTATTTTTAAAAAGGTCAAAAAAAGAGTAAAAAAACAATAGTCAAATGGTGAAAAAACTTAATATATGAAAAGCAGAGTTGGAGCCCCACACTGGACATAGAAATTACTTTAAAAATCAATTAATTAGACAAATAAACAAATTTATGTGTGTGTGTGTGTGTGTGTGTGTGTATCAAAAGCCTTGTGATTTTTATTATAGTGCCTAACCATCTCAGTTTGCTTAGGAACACATGATTTTTAGTGTTAAACTAGAGAAGTCCCAGGCAAACCAGGGGAATTTGGTCGCTCTAATTTTCATACTAATACAAATACTTACATTTATACAAAACACATGTTCAGACTAAATTTTTCATAACTTGACAACAAAACATGTAAGACAGAGTATATTTTGGACATGTAACTTAATGTTTTTTGAGTCACACATTCCAATCTCAGCACCATGTCTTTATTATAGGCAAGTTACCTAGCCTTTTGAACATTAAAAAATATAAATTATTTCTCCACAGTGGTATAAATCTTTCTAGAAATTCTAGAATATACATTTTTAATGCAGAAACACATGCCCAGGTTCATTTCCATTTCTTAAATGCAAGCTAGTATTAAAATCCTTACCTGTGTTACTTCCTCTACACCAGTCATCTGGTACTTCCTCATCCTTTCAAATACTGAATGATCTGCACAGCCCCCCTGTGGACCATATTTATGGGGATAGTCTAAAACACAAAGAAGTAAGGTCATTACTATCATATGTCTAGAGATGACTAAGTATCTTATAAATGAAAAATTAACCGTCACAATTAACGAAAGCCATAGATGCTTACTGAGCATCCTCATTTTAAAAGCTGGCAGGTTCGTAAGTTCTCCCTCAATAAAACATCACTGGTCTCTAGATTTTTGTCATAAAGATGATTTGTGAATTCTAAAAAAAGGACAATAATCATTCTTCATTCTAGGTTTAACTTTCCCAACCTTTCCTGCTTCGGATATATAAAGTATGTTAATACTGCAATTTACTTCATTTCATCATTTATAACTTTCCCTCCAAACACATTAAATTTCCTATGCTGCAAATGTACAACCCAAGCTGAACTACAATTAGACTAATATAATATTCTACATAGCTTGAATTCCTTCAATGAATACCAACTGGCTTCAAGGAAAAGTGACCCAGAAACATGCTCCATGGCACAGTAAAAGCAGAGTGAGTTTAAATTTCTTCAAAATGTAATTCAATTGAGTGCTTTATAAGCCAATAACTATTTTATCATCATTTGTTTTCCCTTTATAATTAAGCAGTGATTAATTTATCTGTAACTGAATTGGTTCTATTTCTAGATAGCTGTTCCATTTTAGCTTAGTCATTTAAAAGCTTCTTCCACTCTCTCAAATTTCATACTTCTCCCTTGCTAGGGTTCTTATTCATGAACATATTTTATAATATAATCAAGTTACCATAATTAAGAGAACTGTCAAGATAAAATACCAAGACATGGGTGAGAGGAGAAGCACTGCAAAATCCTTAAGTAGCTTAAGATATAGTAAAAGAATTATAATTAGAAACACTGCAGGGCGCCTGGGTGGCTCAGATGGTTAAGCGTCTGCCTTCGGCTCAGGTCATGATCCCAGGGTCCTGGGATCCAGTCCCACATCGGGCTCCCTGCTCCTTGGGAGCCTGCTTCTCTCTCTGCCTCTCTCTCTCTCTCTGTCTCTCATGAATAAATAAATAAAATCTTTAAAAAAAAAAAAAAGAAACACTGCAGGTAGTTTCTTAAGAAAATCTAGAACCTAAAGTGGATACTAGTGACCTATTTCTTTGGAAATGCTAATTACATAGTACAACACCAATTTAATCTAGCAGTTAAGAGGGAGGGGTTATGGGACAACCTACATTTACTGATATTAACAGTTCTGACTTAAACTTTAGTTTTTTATCAGAGGTCAAGACTGCAAAAACTGTAAAATTCCAATCAATAAATGTGAAATGATACACTTAAAATGTTACCACATTATAACTCCACATGTATAAAGTGATTTAGGTAAGGATCATTAATGGGTATTAAAACCATAAGGTGAAAGATATGAGGTAACAAGATATTCAGAGTCTCTGAAAGTATCACTCCATAGATTATTTATTAATTATAAAGGACACCAGTACCTTCACACTAAAGATATAGTAATTCTCACTTCATTTACCAAGCAATCAAGCTAAGCACGACCAGTAGCAGAAAAATATGTGCCTCTGATGTGATGCAGTAAGGAATGCCCAGCTTTCCCTATACAATATTGACCAAATATGTTCACTGAATCTAATCATGAATAAACAATCAGACACAGACACAACAAAATGCAGAATATCCTGTAAGTCACTGACCTAGACAAGTAAAAAAATGGCAATGTCATTTAAAGAAAAAAAAAAACAGAAAAAGTTGATAACTAAGGGTAGGGGAGCCTGGTAATTAAGACACTAAAAGAGACAATAAACAAATGCAAAAAAGGCTTTCTTAGGACTACTGGAGAAATTTTATTACAGACTGGATAGTAAATGATATTACTGAATTAATTTTTTTAGGGGTGAAACACTACTATAGCTATTTATGAAAATGTACATATTCAGGGGCGCCTGGGTGGCTCAGTCATTGGGCGTCTGCCTTCGGCTCAGGTCATGATCCTGTGGTCCTGAGATCGAGCCCCACATAGGGCTCCCTTGCTCGACGGGAGGCCTGCTTCTTCCTCTCCCTCTCCCCCTGCTTGTGTTCCCTCTCTCACTGTGTCTCTCTCTGTCAAATAAATAAATAAAATCTTTAAAAAAAGAAAATGTACATATTCTTAGGGAGTGTGTGTTTTAGGGGATGTGTTTAGCAATGAAGTTTCATGATGTCTATAACCTATTTTCAACTAGTTCCCCAAAAAGTGTTGGAGGGGTGCAAAAAAAAAATTTTTTTAATGGCAGATCTGGGAGAAGGATATTATGTGTTTATTGCACAATTCTTTTAACTTTTTTTAAGTTTAAAATTTTTCAAAATAAAATTAGGACTAAAAGACTGCAATGTTGGTAGAACAAATGATTTCAAAGTGGCACTGAAGTGCCAAATGAGAAAAAACCTAATATGTATATTATTTTAGCATTTCAAAGGTTGACTTTGAGAAAGTAAAACCATAACACCATCCAACATGTATCTAGTAAGAATCTGCCACAAAGGCTGAAAAGTTTTCCAATGTAATATGCCCAGATTTTCAATTCTCACCTTCTAGAAGATTTGGGGTTATAATCACCACAATACCTTCCTCTGATAATATAATTTTAACCTGAAAATCTAGCTTGCCTGAACCACCAGGTGAAGATGTTCCTCCATGCCAAGAACACTCATTTTAATAAACAAAGAAAAAATATACAGTCATATTCATATGCAAGTTTATACACATACTTAAGTACCTTTTTTAGTTAACAGAATTTAGATCCCTTGGAACTTTGCTACTTATTTTAATTGTTGTTATAAAGCCATGTTCACAGTTTGATATCATTTATACATCCATAATTTTGTACTATTTTATTTTACCCCTGTACTAGGATAGTCCAGACTCCAGTAGTTAAGAATGTGGACTGATTCTCTGGCTTGTTTTCCCTTAACTCATGGCTAAGAAAATGGCTTATCTATTTAAGATAACAATGTATATGAGGAGGAATCCTTCTGCTGACCCTGGCAGCAACTAGGCAGGTAAGTAAAAAATACACTCAGATTACTGATACATAAAATATTTTGCCATATAAAAATGGATGAAACTAATTTATATATTTTCAAAAGTTTAGTTTCTGTTCCAATGTGATAAGCAACTAACTTACTATTCAATTAATATGTTATGTTCTTATTTTTCCACTAACAGGTCAGTTTATGGTGCCTTAATTTAGATTTGTTTATTAAGTCGGTATTTAAGATAATAAGAATCTATTTTACCACTTACCTTAGGCCAATTTAAGTTCAGTGAAATAAATGCATATTTACCATTTGATGAAATTCTTATAGTTGAATTAGACATCTCCCAATACACACACAAAAAAGAGCTATTTTGACCCCTGAGACTAATATAACACTGTATGTTAACTATATGGGAATTAAAATTAAAACTTTAAAAAAAAGAACTATTTCAAACTACAGTTCTGATTTTATCATGACATTTCCTAAAACCAACTTAATAACCCCCAAACTCAAACTGCTATCTCCCACACAGAGACATTAACACAGACACACAAGCATGGACACCGATGACACCACTCCCAAATAAAAAACTATTTAACTTACTAGCCTTTTAAAGGACAAGCCCTGTGATTAAATCATTACAATCAATTTTTAGATGAACTTTCCCTAAACATCTACCATACCTGGTCTCCTCATCCCACACACCTCACCACTACCGAAAAGAAAGAACGAAAGAAAGAATAATGGGGGCAGAGGGAATAATTTGTTTACCAAAATACATAAATGTCCCCAAAACCCTTCATATCAGTTTATCACTTAGCCAATAAAAAAAAGTTTTTAACTATTCAAAAATTTTATTTGAAAAAAACAATTTTTCTCTTGGCATAGTTGGGTAGGCATTGACCAACAGGTCCTCATTATCCTGCATACAAAGCTACACTGGATTTCCCAGCTCCCTTCCAAGTTAGGTGTGATATATAACCAAGCTCAAGTTGAAGGAACATGAGCAGTAGGGAAGTGCACGAGACAGGATCCTCCATGCTCTTTTCCCCTTCCGAATGGCTGGTGGGAGACAACCTGGGAACAGCATGAAATAAAGTACCCTGGATTCCTGAATTACTTATTGAAGAAAAGCTGCCTGATGAGGAATACTCACCTTAAACTGTTAGATAGTGAGAAATGAGCTTTTAGTGCATTTTGTCACTGAATTTGGGGGCTTTTTGGTACTGCAGTTAGCACTGCCTTAATAGATGGTGAAAATGTTCGTCAAAGAGAGAAAAACTCATTTTGTATCTGCTCTCCAATGGCATTTGGCAAATTTTTCCAATCATAGACAGTGCCAAAATAATCTTAGACTAGCATATCAGAAATTCTTTAGCAGTATTAGTATTTATTATCATTTTCTGAATGTTTTCATTTATAACTAGTTTTCACTCATCCCCATAGAACTTTTGCCAAAAAATGAGACATACAGTTAAGCTGAAGACTCATGGACACGATAATTCCACTTTTAGCTAAAGATAGAAACTCATAAACTCTATAACACCCAGGTAAAATATTTCACATGCTTAGAGAAATGTTATCACTGTTCGAACAGTTTAAGAAGACTTATTCAATGCAAGATTTTCAGTTTTAAAAAGTAAAAAGAGCTGTGAAGCTTGTTAGCAATGTGGTTGTAAGTCCACCACATAACAAATATGTCAAAATAACATTTTTGCTTCAATACATAATTTAGTTCAATTATAATACTTCAATATATAAATCAGTTGATATCTTGATATTACTCAAATTTGAGAAAAACAAATATCATAATCTGACCATGACAGGAATTAGGATACACCTCCATTCAAAACATACTAAGAGGGGCACCCGGGTGGCTCAGTTGGTTGGACATCTGACTTTGCCTCAGGTCGTGATCTTGGGGTCCTGGAATCGAGCTCTGAGTCCAGCTCCCTGTTCAGCAGAGTCTGCTATTCCCTCTCCTCCTGTCCCTCCCCCCCGCTCATGCTCATTTTCTC